GAGAAAGATTTATCAATGTGTTCTGTTCTGGAAAATGGTACAAGGTTCTGAGTGGGGCAATTACCATGGAAACCTGTAGAAACATTCCATTGGTCCATCTTCCCCTTTTATGTCTCTCCATCACTTTTTTTTTAAAAATAACCATTTCATGAATCTCCCCCCCCCCCGTGTGTGTTAATTTAGATTAGAATTCAAAGCATTCTGGTAATGTGGTAGCAAAATGATGGTGAAAGCACACTTCATACCGATTAACACAACAATGATAATGATGTTGAATAGGGAAAATTCCAAACAAAACCGTTTATAAACAATATTCAGTTGCAAAATGCTTGTAGATATACATCTTCATAGTGAAAAGATCATGTTTTGTAGAGTATTACAACATTATTTAAACTGTCATTTTTTTTCTGTACTTAAGCATATCTCTAAATAAAGATGTACATTTATTACATATCGTTGTCTTCTTGTGTGTATGCTTAGAAAATGTAATGAAATAATTTAGTGGTGAGCCTATTATTTCAGGGAACACTCACAAGTGGGGGATAACCCTTGGAAACTAAGCAAAAGTCGAATAAACAATAGAGTGTATCCTAGAGGGGAACTGATCAGTAGTTATTCTTAGATACAGGCAGAGAATGTGTATTCAAGGTAGAAATGATTGTATGTACATAAGAATGAAAATATGAAGAAAAAAAATGTTATTTAATAGGTATCAATTAGGAAGGACACAAAAGAAATGGTTAAAAATCAATATATATGGATATGAAAAAAGCAAATACCAACACTAAGTGGCTCTGAGAATCACTATTAGGAATCCCTAGGGATAATCAGTTTATAGTTTAATATATAGATAGAAATATGCCCAATCCACATATACAGTATTTACGATAATGGAATGATTAGCTCAAGGATAACAATGTATACATGTGATACTAGTTGTACGAGCTATCCAAGAACAGCTACATTAATGTTGCTAAATCCCTAGCATCATTTGTGGATCCTACAATCTGAGAATATAGGAGGGTAGTGAGAGGAATTAAGAGCCTGATGTAGCCTGATGGGCAGACTGGAGAGAGAGAATATCGCAGATTTCTGATAACTCTACAAAGTGATTCGTGAGTGGCTATAGCTACTTCACTACCAAATCCTGTTTAGCTGTTAGGTGTATATACACTAATAATCATAGCGTGTGCCTCCCAATGCACTGTTACCGGATATTCATCTACGTTTGTTGCAAGTAGTTCAGGCTCCTGCTTAGCTAAGCCCTGTTCTGTATGAATATACAAACAAATGTGGTTTTCTTAGTAAAAGTGGGACTTGTTTGGAATTTAGAGTGAATGTCTTTTCAGAGAAAATGCAGTGTTTACATTACAGCCTAGGGATAACTTCACTGGCCACTCCTTAGATGGCTGTTAGAGGTGTTTCCTATCTCAGTCTTGCCTAGTGTGCATCACAACATGCAGTATCTCCTCCCTCTCCATGCAGACACTGAACTTTCCTCATAGATTCAATTCATCTCTATGAGGAGATGCTGATTGGCCAGGGCTGTGTGTGACTTGTGCTGGCTCTGCCCCTGATTTGCCTCCTTCCCAGTCTCAGCCAATCCTATGGTGAAGCACGGTGATTGGCTCAGAACAACATTTCTGATGATGTCAGCAGACAGCTTGTTATTTGAGACTGACAGGGGCAGAGCCAGCAGCTTCAGGCTTGAATACAAGTAAGATTTTACCATATGTAGGGAGGCATGAGAGGGCCAGGAGACTGGATGGGGATTTTAACACTAAAGGGTCATAAATATATGTTTGTGTTCCTGACCAAATAGTGCTTCTTTAAGTATATACAGTAGATGTACATTTAGGCCATATTATACTGCCAATTTTGGGAATTTCTCAATATTAAGAAAATATGTATTATATATTATTTTTTAAAACCTCAAATATAAAGTATATACTCTCTCAAAGTACAGTGTCTCACATACGTATTCACCTCCTTGGACATTTTGCAGTTTGTAGTGATATATAACCTAGAACTAAAATGTTTTGGGGTTTTTTGGTAGTTTTTTTCATTTAATTTATTAAACATACCTAAAATTTTAAAGAGGCAAAAATATTCTTATTGTGACACGAAAGTCAATGAAATAAGCTTGTGTAAATATTCACCAATTTTGCTGTTAATCCTAAATATGCTGTGGTGCAGTGGCCTTTTGGAAGCAACATACGCCTCAATTTAATATTTCTTTCATAATCTTTTTAAATGAAATGAAGGCCATAATTAGCTGGAAGGAATGCACAAGTATGCCGTTAGTATCACGTGAGCTGAAAATAAATCCAGCTGTTCAGAAGGTCCTAGAGATGGTTAGAAAACATATCTGAACAAGCAGCATGATGGAAACCACAAAGTTTTAAAAACAATTCCAGGATACCGTTCTGGAGAAGCACCAATCAGTGTTGTACCAGAGTTATGAAAAAAATGCCCAAACTTTATCTTTCTCCAGAGCACTGCTAAATCTATTTTAAAAGAAAAAGAAAATAATACAGCACCACCAGGACTAGCGAAGCGAAGCCACTAAAATTATGTATGGTCAGCAGTTGGCGATGAGAAGATCTGAAGCTGAGATGGTGAAACTGTCTGAATCTCCACATTCCTGGACTTCATGGACACATGCTGAGGTCCAAGCCATTTGCGAAAAATATATATACACATATCAAATGTGAATTAGAGTTTATGAAAACAGGCATGAAGAAGACACAGCAATCATTAGGAAAACTGTCCATTAGTCTGATGAAACAAAATGTAACTTTGCTTTGCGTGACACAACGTTAACCTTAGTCACCCTGACAGCATTAGCTCATGGAAAAGCATGGTGGTGTAATTATGTTGAGTGGATTTTTCTATCTGCAGGACTAAGAAACTGGTCAGGATTTAAGGCAAGGTGGATGCAGCCACATTCAAGAGCCTTGTTCAGTTCTCAAGATTTCATAGCTTGAGACAGAACTTCACCTTCACAGCATAATGACCCAAAACATATATCCAAAGATAAATGCCTTAAAACTGACCCATCAAATCTCCCAACCTTAATCTGATAATCTGTGAAAACAATTGAAAGTTGTGCTTCATCAGTGCTCCCCATCCAACATGACAGGGCTTAAGTTTAATCAATTATACCAAGAAGAATTTTCAAATATTGCAGGATCCAGATACGCAAACAGTGCAGACTTGCTTGGAAAAGACTCATAGCTGTAACTGTAGCCATAGGTGATTCTTCTCACTACTAACTCAATAGCCACATAGTTGCAATGGACTCCCAAGCCAAAAGTTGTCCGACCTCCCTGTCAGTTTAATCTTTATTTTGCAGTACACCAGGGGATATTACATCTCGTCTCACCAGGTCATGTTCTAAGAGAGACTCTAGTGGAATACCTACTTTAACAAAAGCTCTCTTTTGTCACTCAGTTCTAGAGCATTGGGTAAAAGTAGAAAATTATAAATCCTGAAGCTTAGATGGTTGTCATTTAACTGGGAGATCTTGTGAGGTATGTAATAAACAGAACGAAGCATTGAGTTGTCTATTTTGAATATCTTAGCAGAGTCAGCCCACCAGCTGCCTCAAAAGATCACAAAGAGATTGCGAATAGCTTAGTCTGAAAGCAAAATAATCATTTTTTTTCACTGAAGAGAGTTAAGTTGCTAAAGCCAGGTTTCTATTCCTATAGTGCACTGTGCTTTGTTTCATTTAAAATACCATTTTAAGAGATATATATATATATATATATATATCTTAAAATGGTATTTTAAAGGAAACAATTTCCTTTCCATCGTACATAATGGAAAGGAAATTTCGAGACATATCAAGAAGGCTGTTTTTAAAATAAAATATTATTTGTGCCAGCTTTGTGACTTACGAAAAACACATAGTCGTATATATATATATATATATATATAGTCAATGGCGAGAATAAAATAGCTAAGTAGGCATAAATGGTTCATTTGTCATAAACACCTCTAGATATTTTGAATTTATTTTTCTGATACCTGGCAGCACCATCAATAATTCACTAGGTGCCATACCTACAGCATATGGCTAAAAGATATTTAACTCTTTGATTTCCTTATGAATGAAAATTTCTGAATAATTCTTATTTTGTTGGTCTTGCATCTGGACCTTTAAATCTTAATGTCACTCAAAACGCAAAGATTTTTTTCATAGCGAGAAAGGTAATCAGAGTTCATAATGCCTCCTTTACTTTACAGAATAGGATTCATTGTGGAATTTAATATCATAAAAGAACCTTGTTTTTGCACAGACCGAAACATCAAAATAATTGCTTGACAGCCGACATGTTTTCACAAAACTAAATACTGGGCTTCTGCCTAAGAAAATATGGTTGTGGGAAGTAAAATCCGCAAACCAAAAATATAGATCTTTCTGGATTTTTGCAATCCACTGACAAGTACAAAAATGAATTTCTACATTTCACTTTATTTAATTTGAAAAATGAAATAAGAGGAAGAGACTTTGGTACAGTTTTTTTTTTTTTTAATGTGTAGCAAATTAACATCAATAACAGCTGAAATCATTTCTGTTGCATCGTGTGTGAAAGACAATATAATGCTGCGCTTTATTAAAAAATACCTTTGTTTCTATAAAATTTTGAATGTTCAGTCTAGAACTTTAGACATTATGTTCTACAGCTACTCGATGATATTTGAACTAAATAATATTATGCCTAATTTCAGCAATAGCCACTTAACATAGCAATTAAAAAAGGAAAGGAAAAAAAAAGGAAAAAGTCACAGAATACTTGAATAAAGAAATAACCGATTTAAAAGACTGCCAGAGAGATAGAGATGTATAGAGCTTGCACTGCATCATCCATCAAGTCCTCTATAATGAAGCTACTGTGACCAACTCTCTTCGTTTGATTGGTTTATGTAGAGCAGGGATGGCGAACCTTTTTGAGCCCGAGTGCCCAAACCGTAATACATGCCAATTTTTTTTTCCTCAAAGTGCCAAAACGGCAATTAAACCTGAATACTGAGGTTTAAGTTTAGAAAAAACAACTCATACAGTTGTCCGAACTAATTAACATCTCTGTGTGTGTATTAAGCAGTTTGTGTGTGTGCTCGGCAGTCTATCTGTATGTGTATTTAGCAGTCTGCCTGTGTACTTAGCAGTCTGTCTGTATTTAGCAGACTGCTGAGTACACAGTCTGCTGAATACACACACAGACTGCTAAATACACACACAGACAGACTGCTACACACACACACACACACACACAGACTGCTGAGTGTACACACACAGACAGACTGCTGAGTGTACACACACTGCATTGAGGGGTACAGTGTATGTGTTTGTGTGTGGAGTGATGTGTGTGTGGGGGAGGTGATGTGTGTGGGTGGGGTGATGTGTGTGGAGTGATGTGTGTGGGTGGGGTGATGTGTGTGGGGTGGTGTGTGTGTGGGTGATGTGTGTGTGTGTGTCTTTTTGTGGGGTGATATGTGTAGGGCAGGGGTGCTGTGTGTATGTCGTCCCCCCTCTCCCCCCCTCTGTTTTCTTTCCCCCCATCCCTCCCTCATTTTTTTTCTCCCATCCCACACTCAGTTTTCTCCCCCCCATTTCTCCCTCAGTCTCCTTCCCCTCCCCCATCTCTCCCTCAGTCTCCTTCTCCCTCCCCATCTCCATGAACTCCTTCTCCCTCCCCATCTCTCCACGCCAGTCTCCTTCTCCCTCCCCCCATCTCTCCATGATCCTTCTCCCCTCCCCCATCTCTCACCAGTCTCCTTCTCCCTCCCCATCTCCGCTTGGTCTCCTTCTCCTCCCCATCTCTCCCTCAGTCCTCCTTCTCCCTCCCCCATCTCTCCTCAGTCTCCTTCTCCCTCCCCCATCTCCTCAGTCTCCTTCTCCTCCCCCATCCTCCCCCAGTCTCCTTCTCCCTCCCCATCTCTCCCAGTCTCCTTCTCCCTCCCCCATCTCTCCTCAGTCTCCTTCTCCTCCCCCCATCTCTCCTCAGTCTCCTTCTCCCCCATCTCTCCCTCAGTCTCCTTCTCCTCCCCCATCTCTCCTCGGTCTCCTTCTCCCCATCTCTCCCTCGGTCTCCTTCCCCTCCCTCAGTCTCCTTCCCCCCCCTCCCCCATCTCTCCCTCAGTCTCTCCCTGCCTTGGCGTGGCCGGCGAGGAACTCAGTTCCTGTGCCCAGCCGGACCCGGGAAGTGCTCTCTCTGTGAGCACTTCATTTCCGTCCGCCCGGGTACAGGAAACCGCGGCGCGCTCGGCCACGCTACACAGAGTGCCTGGCAGGAGGGAGCGCACGGCGACCTATGGCCGCGTGCCCACAGAGGGGGCGCGGCGTGCCACCTGTGGCACACGTGCCATAGGTTCGCCACCACTGTCCTAGACTGAAGTTCTGAAATGCCATTTACAAGCATAAATTAAAGGGAAACGCTAGGCACTGTAACCACTTCATCTGTTTGAAGTGGTTTTAGTTATGCAATGCCCTGGTACCAACACTCAGTTCATTGTTAAACAGTTTTTAATGATTTAATGTTAAATAAGAGTCTTAGGTAGCTGGCAGGCCTGTCCCATCTATGTTGCTTGGGTAATATTGACTCAGAGAGTCCACATACCACTTAGATAATCACAGATGCCCATTACTGGCTTGAATTGGTATGACCAAGGAAGAGTGTAATCTGTGCCTTAGCTGTACATATATAAGATTAATATAATATATACATATATATCAGGACTGTCCTGATGAAAGTTTGTAAATAGCAAACTAAAATGTAAATTTTGGTTTATTTTTATGTAAAGCTAATTAAAAGCTGTTTTATTTTTACAAAGACCTGGGAGTGCTGTCTGCATTCCTCTTGTACATTTGGCCTGACAAGCACCGGGCAAGGATCTGAATATAATATGGAGTGCAAGAGATATATATATATATATGTGTGTGTGTGTGTGTGTATTAACTATCCACAGACTTCAGGTGGAAGGGGTTTTTAATCACAATTTTTCCCCACCATAACCTTTCTGTTTT